GCGTTATGCATCATGTATCGTAAATAGTAGAACGAAGAAGGAAAGTGAACGTAACTAGCATCGCAAAAAACGCCCAATCCTTTACAAAAATCGTAATTACTTCGAAACTCTTTTCCTACTTTGACTTTATGAATGACTTTTGGTTCCACCACTTTTATCATCTACTGTTAAAAGAACAATCATCTGTAGAACATACCGGGTAGGTATAGTGTAAACACTGGCAGTCGTGTAGGCCTCGCCGCACATGTTTTCATCTCCTCATTCCAGATCATCCCAATGAGGCATGATTTAATTTCCCAATCTGATCCATCGGTCGGATTGCACTCAATACACTGGAAAAATAACAATCAAACGACGACGTCCCGTCACAGCACCATTGATCCGAAAGAAAGTTATTTCAAAAACTCATGTTGAAGTTCCACCTCTGCAACGTTTAAGAGGAAAAGAGCTGCTTTTTGAGCTTAAAAAGTCGGTTTAAATCGAAAATCGCTAAAAATCGGTGAAATCAGTGAAAATCGTTAAAAATCGGTGAAATCAGTGAAAATCGGAAAACTCACTGAAAATTGGTGTTATTTACCAACAGATGAGAATTCAGTGTTGTCTGTTGACCGGTTTTCTCGTGTAGTGCAAATAAGCAAAAAAATAAATAAAATTAATATTACTTTTATCTGTTTTTTCTTCACTTTCACTAGGTCTGATTCCTATTTTGCACAATTAAAGCACGTTCTGCACTGTTTATCGCGGTCTTTACTTCATTTCCAAACAAATAAAATAAAATAAAATCATTCAAAATCGGAAAAATGCAAGAATCACCTGTTCCCCCTTGGCAACGTTACATTGCAAGAGAATTATGTATTAGTCAATCCTCTGTATCGAGGATAATTAAACAAACCAACTTCGTATTAAGAAAACTGCAGAAATTAACAAAAGGAAATGCTGACAAACGGCGCCAATGTGCAAGACAATTATATCGAAGTTTAGCTGTTGGTTCAGTTTTTGTTAGAACGGATGAATCCTGGTTCTATTTAAGTGGTAGCGAAGGAAAAAGAAAGATTTGTTACATTAAGAGGTCAGATCCCGATTATGGTCGTATAATAATTCAACAACATAGCTCACGTTCGAAAGATTTTTTGGTCTGGGTTGGTGCAGCAAGTAAAGGGAAAACAGCATTTCGCTTTGTTGAATCTGGTGCTAAAGCAAATGCGGATTTATTACATTAAATATATATTAAAACCCTTTATATCCAAAGCTATTCAAAGACTGCTTCCAGGAAATGAAAAAAAGAAAATGGTATTTCATCAAGATTCTGCACCTGGCCATGAAGCTGCAAAAGCACGGGAGTTTCCAAAAGCAATGGGAGTTGTTATATAATACCAGAAGAATGGATGTCAAATAGCCCAGACGCAGCTCCAGTGGATTATTCTATATGGGGTTGTCTGAAACATCAACTAAAGAAAAAATCGATAATCTCGATTAATGCAACAGAAATTAAACTAGTATGGAAAAAAAGGACGCAAAATTACACAGACGGAGTTTTAGCGTATTGGTGAAAAAACAGGTTTTCCTATAGCAAAAGCAAAGGGCATATAGAACATTCGTTTGAAACTATAATGTTTTTTCCCTTGACTTCAAAAGGATCTTAAAACTTCTAAATTGTAACGCTGAAAAATGTGTACATAGCAACAGGCTATACGATTTTGCTAGCTTTATTTAGATTATCGTTTTTTAGTAAATAGGAAAACAAGATAACATGAAGCACGTAGTACACCACGGGATCCCTTAACTTCGGTCTGACCAAAAAATAATGATCTGTACACATATTATTCAGGCGTAAGAGGTCTATAAACAAAGATTATTGTTGTTCTTTCTCTTTTTCTCTCACCGTATTGTGATTCATTTTTTCTCTTTCACTATCGGTAACAGTGCCTCTTATGTAAGCGAAATTTTCTTTTTTGCTTGTTTACTGTTTACTGACTATGTAACATCTTTCGTCAAAATAAATTTAATTCAATAAAAGAATTATGTTGTTTGTACCCAAGCATGAAAAATGTATCGGGTATCGCCCGATGCAGCTAGATATACTAGATACAAAACGCGATACATCTAGATGCGTAAAAAAGAGAAAAAGTTGAATCTGGTTATCGGCCGATACATCTAGATACAGCCGATTCTTTTCTAGATGTATCTAGTTATGTATCTAGTAGCGATTTTAACCTGATTCATCGGGCAATATATCGGAAGATGAATCTAGTTGTATATCGGCTGCAGATGAGACACGCGTGAAATCGCCCGATAAAGCTGCCAATACGTCGTACAATGTATTGGGCGATGTATCGTGGGATATATCGATCGATTCATCTGCTTGAATACCGGTTTAAGTCAATTCCATTCCATCCTATCGTTAAAATCGAGCGATGCATCTAGTGTAATGCGATTTCCAACTAGATGCAACTAGTGAGAAATCACCTTGTTCTAAATGAGGAGAAACAGTAGTTATCATTTTGCATCTTGAAGTTCCAGTTGTACAAAGCTGAGCCTAACAGATAGAATTGAGGAAATTCAATTTGCTAAATTTCATCTTCTGGGCTCAAGTTTGGAAAACATGTCCTTCACAGTGAAAATTCGGGAAAACCACTTTTTTAAAGCTAATTTTCAGTTTCCCACCACGAACAAAGTATTTCTCAAGTTTGAGTTTGGAACAGAATGTGTAGCAAATTTAATTTTCTAAATTTTATCTGCCATGCTCAGCTTTGTAGCACTAGATTTTCAAGATAAAAAGTACAAAACACCATTTTTTAGTCTGAAGACCAACTTTAGAGACCCAACACTAGTAGAAAAATTTTAGGAAATTAAATTTCCAGCATTTCATGTTCCAGACTCAAGTCTAATAAATGCTTCCATCATGGTGAGAAACGCTTATTATTGTTAATTAGTTATATTAAATTTAGTGTTATTTCTATCCATAATAACAAGAAGAGAATGAAAAATGTATATCTATTTGTGTAAGCTCGTGTGGTACAATGGCGTAGATAGAAGCGACTACTGATCTCTAGGTACAGAGTTCGAATCTCTGCACGAGCTGACGAATCGTACGCTTAATCGCTAGATGTACCTAGTTCTTATTGTTTTCTATCAACCATAATTTCTTACTAGATGCATCGGATATTGCATTGTGTAATCGAGTAAAACCCGATGCATCTAGATAACCCGATATTTTTTACTCTTTTATCTAGATACTTTTGCTGGAGTATCGGGCGATACCCCAGCAAGTGTATCTAGATTTTTTCGTTTACGAATTCATGCTTGGGTACAGCTATGCACACAATATTTTTCAAATCATTCAGTGCTCTTTGTGGTGTATTATTGAAATTGATGTTCACTATTAACTATGTTCTATTTTCTCAATTAAATTTTTTATTCGAATACTATTTTAATAGTTCACAAGGTTTTAAATAATATCGATACAGAGTACTTTATTTCGAGTTCTACCACCACTGATTATACGCATAAATCTTAGTGAGCAAAAGGCGGTAGATTCATTGCTTCATATCATTATGCAGTATGGTATCAGTTCCCAAGCAGAAAATCCTACATGAAAATATCTAGATATTTTATCGTTGTATTGGACAATCCTACTATGAAATATCTAGGTATAGGTGTCACTTTTATTGGGTTATCTAGATATATTAGGCATGGTAACTAGTTCAATCCTACTATGAAATATCTAGGTATAGGTGTCACTTTTATTGGGTTATCTAGATATATTAGGCATGGTAACTAGTTCATCCTGATATCATCTCAATATATTCGGATGCAAAAAAAGGCTGGTGTAGGGAGCTACAGCCCTCGATATATTGGTCTGTTATCGCCCAATATATCGACTCATGTATTGACAGCATGAAGGATGCTGTCTACATTGCGCCCCGTGATGCCTGTATGCAGACATCCTGCTTTCTGTAATATATTGGTCTATTATTGCTCAATATATTGACTTGATATGAATAAAAACTTTGTAAATTTATGGAGTATATGATATGTGTTACATATATAGGTGCTGTGGCTGCAAAACAGAAAGGTGAATAATCCGACCGTCGATATATCGAGCAATATATTGGGCAAGCTAGATATATTGGGTATGGTATTAGGTTATCTAGGTATA